CAAAAAGACATAATTAGAATATTAGTCGCGATGCGCGATTACGCGAAGTTAAGCTTCGAAGATATATGTATAGGGTTAAAGAAGAATCATATTTGGAAAGTCTACATTGTTTACGACTTTGACAGAGAAACTACGTAGTGCTAACTCTCACTCATACTCATAACGACTGATTTCTTTCTAACGAGAAATTCCCGACCGCTCATATCGAGTCATTGAGTATGAAATGTATTTTTTGTGTTCAGCATATCTGAAGATAAATATTTGATTTTTCATCTTTTCCATTCTTCTAAACTTTATATTTGAATGAGATTGAGAACTCTGATATCTCGTTCTGAAAAATATGAAAAAAATTTTTTCATTTTATTACTAACGTATTCTATTCACATACTTGAAAATTACATTTCATGTGCAATGATAGCTCGATTAACGCTATTGAACTCCACATTAATGTAGTTCAGATACATTTTACAATTTTGCCAGTGCAATGATTGTGATTGCTCCCTTCCTGAGATTCGTTTTCGCGTATAATATGTATAATATATATATTCGAATATACAGCGAAATTATGGGAATGTTAAAAGGATATATAAACTCGGAAATAATATCTTTCGCACATTGTTGTTATTCTGATTTCTTAAATCGTCAACATCTTCGAAATAATAAATTCTGTGTCAGAAACGACGTGCGAAGAAATCATTTTCAAAATTCGAATTTCTACTTTCAAAAGGCAGAACGCCCTGATCTATTCGTCAGTTCGTTATTGAGAATTCATGAACTAACTGATTCTTGAACCTGTGTGTGTGATATCTGTACTCATTTATGATTTACAGCCAACGAATGTTACTGTCTCGTTAAAATGAAAAAAAATTCGGATATTATATCTGTAATATACTCTGTATTGTTGTTGTGTGATTAAATCGAAAATCTCAAACATACGCAACATTTTGTTTCTGAAAACTTTATTCCATATCTCGAGAAAAATATAAAAAATTGTAAAATTATTGAATATGTGATTATGTGATTGATATATTAAGATTCTAATATTAATAGACAATTAAAATCAAATAAAAATTATAAGTAAATAAACATCGATATTCAATAAGCTCGGTAACGGAAAAGGAAATGACATAACAAAAGAATAGTTATATAAGAATAATATACAAATAAATAAAAAAAAGTATGTAGTTTGCATGTAACTCCTTATATTCTTATTTATATCCTGATATCTATTAAAATAATGTCGATTATATTTATATTTATACGAAACCAATCAAATTGATCATCAAGACTCTCAATAAGACATTAAAAAAAATAGTTACTCTCAAGTTTTTAATATTGTCTATAAATAATTTTAATATCAGAAAAAAGAATGATATAAATTATAAAAGATATAAAAAGTAAAAAAAATAAACTACAACATAAAACAAAAAAATTTCAATTTATATTTTATATTGTGTTCTCACATGTTACGGTCTAAAATAAGATTCTTATTGTTTATATTACGTCGCCTGAAAGAAGGACGTTTCTTTACATATACCGATTATCGCAAGGAATATTACTATAAGGCCTCGGTAATCTAAAAGCTTAGGACGCTCGTACGGAATACAAGAGATCTGGGTTCGGTTCCTGTTTGTATTCGAGGTATTTTTCGCAATTTTATTTACAGTTTTTCAACACATTGACATCTTTCTATAATATGATGCCTGATTGTGCATCAAATTATTAAGAATTGCTTGTCAATTTAATTATTAATTCGTGATATTATTACAGTAATTTAATTGCGTTTATAAGTCCGGAAAATCAATTGTGCAGTTTAAAAGACTACAAACATGATATATATGCATGTACATATGTAGTATATAATATATAATTCACATTGAATTGTTTAAGCATTACCCATACAGCACCGATAGTTGCAGAGAACTTTCAGTAAGGTTTCAAAATCATTTCGACCTTTCACATTTCATGTGTAACAATTCTGAAAGAATTTTGTAATATGTCACATGAAATGTTGCAACAGTAATATTTCTGAAATTGTTCATATGAACATAATTTTACAAAACTTTCAGTTGAGTTATCTCTATAACATTTCATATAAAATCGTTTTAGCAAACCTTTCAGTTAAGTTATTTCTGAAATCTTTCATATGCAACAAATTACATATCTCCACCGACAAAGAGCTTCGGCGAAGAACATTTACTCGTAAATAAGAATCACCTAAGCGAAAATATAAGAAGCGCAGCATTTCGCCTGTAAAGTGAATCCCAAATTTGGGCTCCAAAATGAAAGCATATGAAGTGTTTTTCAAAGTAAAATTTTATAATGCGTTTTTTTATAGCACTTGAATAATAGTACATTTAATATCAAAAAGAAGTAGCCCACCCATACAACAGAAATATTTCAGAAAGATGTCAGAAATGTTGCGAAATCTTCTGCAAGATTTTTGAAAGATCTCTGAAAGGTCAAAATGTCCGCGATTCTTCCACACGAAATCTTCCAGAAATATATAAAGGGCCTTTCAGAAAGATTTAAGAAATACATTTGAAACCATTTCGCATATATTGCACAAAGGTTGCAGATATATTTCAGACCTTTCAGACATATTTCTGGAAGATTTCATGTGGAAGAATCGCAGACGTTTTGACCTTTCAGAGATCTTTCAAAGATCTTGCAGAAATATTTCGCAACATTTTTTAAATGTTTCGCTTTTTTAGTTGAAACATTTCTTAGATCTTTCTGAAATATTTCTGTGCTGTATGAGTAAATTGTTGTGTAATACGTTTGCGACAAAAGCATCGCGTTATAGATATACTATCCTTAGGAAAAAGTGTTTCAATATACTGAATAGTTAATCAATATATTGGAACACTTTTTCTTAAGGGTATTTGCAATAATTTTTAAGAAAATAAAGTTGAAAATGAGTACATTTTTTAATCCCTTTTTTTCTCTTACTTTTTAGTATATTACCATTCACGATTTCCCTATAATCCCTAGAAAATGGTATGTCTTAGATAATTTTTAATATAGTTACAGTTAATCATTATTGTAACAAAGGACCCTGTCATAATCTTATGAAATTTGAGTTTTGGTAAAATTGACTGAAATTTTGATGTTGTAGCTTTTTCCTGTGAAGTTGGCTCCCTAAATTAACAGTAATAAATAATTTATTAAGAGATTGTATAATGTGAATACACAATAAGTAAAAAATAAATAACGTTTAAAGCTGGATCTTAAGTGATTTTAAATTTTAATATCATTTAATTTAAGTGCTTTTAAATTTTAATATCATAAATAATTAAAACTAAATAAAAATTACATGTAAATAAATGTTGATATTCTATTAATAAACTCAGTATCAAAAAAGGAAATGATATAATAAGAGAATAGTTATAAAATAATATCAATTATATTTATATATTACACCCTTCTAAAGTGTATTAAATATAATAAATTGGTATATTTTGTACATTTCTTAGACCAACATCAACAAATATAACAATGGAATATATTATTCGCATAATATTACTTCACTTTGTACAATTAAGAGTGCCGTTAGTACTTACCAGGTATGTAAATATGAAACCGGAATTTTTTAATAGAAAATACACGTTTATTGCATGAAAATGATAAGAAATATTTTATTCGAAGTATTACCCATCGCTAGCTATACATTTTTTCCACCTTTCTGACAACTTGTGGATGCCACGCCAAAAAAAACCTGTTGCTTTTTTGAGCCAAACCAGTCATCTAGCCATTTTCATACATCTTCGTAAGAAGTGAAGCGCTGCTGAGCAAGTGCGTGTCCCATCGATGCAAATAAGTAGTAATCGGACGGAGCCAAGTCTGGTGAGTAAGCCGCATGCGAAAGTATTTCCCAACCAAACGCCTCAATCGTTTCCTTGACCAGTTTTGCTGGGTGTGATGGTGCATTATCATAAAGTAAAATCACTTTGTGTTGCCTTTTTTAATATTCTGGTTGTTTTTCACGCAAAGCTTGATTCAAATTGATCATTTGTTGTCGATAGCGTTCAGTATTAACGGTTTCGCCAGGTTTTAGCAGTTCATAATAGATCACACCTTTCTGATCCCACCAAACACGGAGCATTGTCTTCCGCCCATAGCGATTTGGCCTTGCAGTCGATGTCGATGGTTCGCCTGGAGTACCCATGATCTTTTACCCTTAGGATTCTCAAAATATATCCACTTTTCATCGCCAGTCACAATTCGATGGAGAAATGACTTTCTTTTGTACCTGGCGAGGGGTGGCATCCAGTTGGACACGGCTCAATTGGACACGAGCCACTCACAGCGCTTGAGACTCCAAAGCTCCTAAGCACCGGTCGCTGTGATTGGTGGTGTCCAATCGAGACGTGGTCAATTGGGATCACCCCCTGGCGAGCAGTATTTCGCAAGTGGTTTTTCGGTTTTTCTGATATCTTTCATTCAGTTCATGTGGAACCCATTTTCCCATCTTCTGGATCTTTCCTATGGATTTCAAACGTATGAAGACGGCTTCTCGTGTCACATTCAATTGATCCGCGAGTTGCTGTTGAGTTTGAGCGTCATCCT